ATAGCACAGACCATTATGATTTCAAAGGTGTTCTTCAGGCGCACTCCTAACGCAATGATTGCAATCCATTTGTTGGAAGATTGTGACGTGTTAAACTGCACACCTAATTTTTTATTATGTCTCGAGTAGCAGAAGATAACGAAATGAAGTGATTTCTTATAAACATGGCTTATCAACAATACATGCAACCTAAGCCATGATAATAAATAGTGAGGTCTTACAGTGATGATGATGATCATGTACCATGCAGTAGGTAAAATGAACGAGTATTCACCAAAATGCTGGACAAGTACAGTAGGCTTAATTGTCAAAAGGAAATCCATGATGCATTATATTTATGACATACGGATGTGATTATTACTTTGTTTTGCTATACATATCTTCAGACTTGTAAGCATTGTGTTTTATTATAAGTATATCTTTTCCCTGATCAAAGCAAAAAATAAAAAAAAAAGAAAAAAAGACGGTCCGTCCCCCCTACCCCCTTCAGCCCCCCCCCCCCCCCCTTTTCGGCTACCGGCCTGAGTAAGGTTTGTTTACGAAATTCCGTTTATTGCAGAGGTCATTGGAGAAGTAGGGGGTTTTCTTTTTATGTTTTGTTATCTAACCTTCCTTCGCGTTCGACCTAAGTCGGCAATCCTGAGACAGCCCGCTGATAAATTACAATGTGGCTTGTCCTGGAGTTAATAAGACGGATAGTATCGAATACGAGTGGTATACCCTTTTCAAGACCTCGGCTCTTTGTAACAGAGAAGAAGAGAGTACACTTATTATTTTTACGATAATAAGCGAAAAAGGTCGAGTATCATCACGGTGAATTACTGAAAGAAGTTTAGGAGTAAGTTCGTCAGTAAGTTTAGTCAAGCTAACAGTTATACCATAAGCAATTCATTCCGAGCAGTTGTTATTAAAGGCTAAGAATGTATTGATGACTCGATAGAGACTGGCTGTACATACAGGAAGTCTTTCAGATTTGCCTGTGCTTTGTGCGCATGAGCAGAATGGATGGTTCACGCTCCGAGCAGCATACGCAACACCGGGTCTTGTGCGGTAAGTTTTTACCCTCATTCATTGCTGCTCTTAAAAGAAGGTAAGAGTACCGGTAGTTCGACTTCATTTTTTTATTATTTTTTTTTTCAGTTTGCTTAACAATGGAGCATCATAAAGGTCGTTTATGGATGGAAGTAAAGGTGAAATTATAATAGGAAAACCAGGAATTCAAACCTGAGTGACTGAAATATAAGTCTTAGAAATTCAAGAAAGCTGAAACTACCACCGAAGGATTGGCTTTTCTTTAATGCATACCACTAGGAGAACAGATCTCTGTTTTGTAACATGACGTTCAGTAGCAGCAGCAGTTATTGTTTTCACCATGAAGAAAGGAGACGGACGTACGCCATCCAGTTCTGTGACAAGTCTTCCATGAGTACCACTACATAATACATGGATCTGCAGATACCAGGGGGGTATGCTGGACTTAGTGGAGAGCAACAATGCAGATGTAGTTGATGTGATACAAGATTGAATAAGAAAAATAAGTAATCAAGTTTAAATAACAGAAGTCCATGAAAAGGAATGAAATGGCTGACATTGGAGAAAAATCATTCAAATGCCAGTATTGTGAAAGGAGCTTTACTTTCAAATGTCATTGTAAACGGCATGAAATGATCCACATTTCGGATAAGCCATTCAAATGCCAGTATTGTGATAAGAGCTTTAATTTCAAAAGTCACTGTAAACAACATGAAATGGTTCACACTAGAGGAAAACCATTCAAATGTCAGTATTGTGATAAGAGCTTTAGTGTCAAAAGAACATGTATAAAACATGAAATGATTCACAGTGGAGAAAAACCATTCAAATGCCAGTTTTGTGAAAAGTGCTTTAGGCGTAAACAAAGCTGTGCACAACATGAAATGAACCACACTGGAGAAAAGCCATTCAAATGCCAGCATTGCGAAAAGAGTTTTAGTTGCAAAAAGCTTTGCAAACAACATGAAATGATTCACACTGGAGAAAAACCATTCAAATGCCAGCATTGTGATAAGAGTTTTAGTGTCAAAAGCACATGTATAAAACATGAAATGATTCACAGTGAAGAAAAACCATTCAAATGCCAGCATTGTGAAAAAAGTTTTATTATTAAATATAATTGTACACGACATGAAATGACCCACACTGGAGAAAAACCATTCAAATGCCAGCATTGTGAAAAGAGTTTTAGTTGCAAAAAGGTTTGCAAACGACATGAAATGATTCACACTGGAGAAAAACCATTCAAATGCCAGTATTGTGAAAAAAGCTTTACCGCCAAAGATAAATGTAAACAACATGAAATGATCCACACTGGAGAAAAACCATATAAATGCCAGTATTGTGAAAAAGGTTTTATCGAAAAACGGAATTGCATACAGCATGAAATGACCCACACTGGAGAAAAACCATTTAAATGTCAGTATTGTGAAAAGTGTTTTAGATTTAAAATAAGCTGTGCACAACATGAAATGACCCACACTGGAAAAAAACCATTCAAATGCCAGCATTGCGAAAAAAGTTATAGCATTAAACGGAGTTGTATAGAACATGAAATGACCCATACTGGAGAAAAACCATTCAAATGCCAGCATTGCGAAAAGAGTTTTAGTTGCAAAAAGGTTTGCAAACGACATGAGATGATTCACACTGGAGAAAAACCATTCAAATCCCAGCATTGCGAAAAGAGTTTTAGTTGCAAAAAGGTTTACAAACGACATGAAATGGTTCACACTGGAATTTCATCTCCGCCTGTAAGAAAGGAACTTCAAGGAAGGAATGAACTGAATAGGACAATACTTTCACCACAGTCTATAAAAAAGGAATTCCAAGATGATTATATGCAACATGGGACAAAGGGACAGGTGGAATCTTATACAGAAGCCGAAGTCAAAATGGAGTTAAATGATTACAATGCTCCAGAAGTGAGACCAGAGATCTATCCAGTAGCAATGTTTAGAAATGTGTTTGCAGACACAGGCGTTTGATGTCTGATAACATAAGTCAAAGTCTTAGATGGGTATAATATTAAAGTATAATATTAATTATTGTATGCCTGACACAAAACAATAATGACTGATGTCAAAACATTGACATTTTATGTTTTATTTAAATATTATTTTTTGTATGGAAGTTGGCAGAAATCAGAATAAATAGCTCCGATGGTTTAAAACAAATAATTTTTAGCAAATCTGTGGCAACAAATGAAACTGAATTAAAGTAATATTTTTCTTAGTAAACATAAACGATTTAATAAAAGATAAAACATTTTAGTTACTTTTTTCCTCGTTCTCTGCTGTTTATAAGTAAATAAGAGGACTGTTCCGTACATCTGTCGATGAATTTGTAGATTTAGTTCCCTCTAAGGTTTTGAATTTGGCATTATATACCCTAGATTCTAGATTCCGGTATTGCCAGCTCGATCTTGATTTCATATATAACCCATATCAGCAATGCCAAGCTCTAGCGAATACCGACAATCCGTAGGCGTTCTTCTTTAAAATTTTGCCTGGGACGCTTCCATATTTGGAAGTCGCACGTCACAGCTGTGTCCGCCTGGATCCATATTTGGAAGTCATAACTCTCGTACGTCACGTTATCTCGTGCAGACTGGACAAGAAGCAAATTGGCTGACGCGGAGTTAGAAGTTTGAATTGAAAATATCTTGCAGTCGAAGGTCAGTGCCACAATACAAGCAACATTCTGCTTTAAAATTCGATTTTGGTGTAGCCATTGCGCAGCCCTTATATTGGTATCGGGCAATCAGTGTGGCTGTCAAACTTGGCACACGGCAAGCACGTGTGTTCATACCTTCAGGGGCAAATGTTTTTTGATAAGCAAAAAATACAAAAAACATTGGATGTATCTTTTCTTTTCGAAGAATATTATTTATTTTTTCACTTTACATCTTTAATACAGTACATGAAGTTAAATAAAGCAGAATTAAATCCGTTTTACGTTTCATTTTGGTCTGATGACATTCAACTGCAGATTCACTGCGGAGCAGTTTTATTTGATTGACGGAAATGTAACATGGCCGCTGTTCGTCAGAGCTTCTGTGAAGCTATCGCGTCAAAACGTTTCAATAGTTAACAATCTAGCTTCACAGGGGCTCCAGCACTCAGGGTAGCATTATATGGCGTCAATAAGTGATCGAGTGATCTTGAATTAGGTATTGTGAGGTAAAGTTTGACTAACTCCAGTAGGTAAGAGGGGCTGATTGATTAAAAAATGCCTACATATGATCTTGAATTAGGTATTGTGAGGTAAAGTTTGACTAACTCCAGTAGGTAAGAGGGGCTGATTGATTAAAAAATGCCTACATAAAAAAAATAATAAAATAAACTATGTATCAGAGAGCCAGTGTTACTGTTTGAAAACATTGTAATATAATCCCCACTGGGTGTGTGAGTAAAGGTGCGCTGAAATGTTCTGAAATCGTTGCGATTCGTATCCGTTCCACAGTACAGCCATAGAGTAGAAAGCTGCAGTAGTTTAACGTTTGATTGTTGCCGCTGAGGCTTGACCCAAGTTATCAAGTTATTTATATGACACTTTATGACTTGTCAAAATAATCACCCCACTGTAAGCAACCATGTGTCTATTCCGAATGCTCAACATTTTTCTTTTAGCGTACCTTGATATTAATAAAAAAAAAGAAGGATAGACATATAAGTACGGTACGTAAATCAAAGGGACGTCCGTTAAAATCTTATTACATTAAGAATGCGAATGGGGTAAACCGTTCAGTTGGCTCGTGTCTTAAGTTATTAAAGTCAATAGTGCATGGTCATGGCGCCCTTTTTCGTTAATGAATATTTCAAGATTGTGTACTTAAATAGGGCAGAAAAAGTCGCCTAGTCTCGGACACCGAGAGATGTTTATAGACTACAGCAGCAATAAAACTGTGAAGATCCTATTGAAATCATCAGTGGTGAGGCTATTAACCCCAATCATACTGGTATATCTTTCAGTGTATGCATACCGGGTGGGGTACCCCGTTTTTAATTGTCCAATTACCGTTTATTATTCAATTTTTTAAAAGTTAGAACAGAAGCGAAAAAAAAAACGTTGCACCATAAACACAACGCAAGAGCTACATAACAGGGTAAAATTCGTTCTGATGCTTGCTTTGCTCCCTACGCCATGATCGAAGTGAGGTTGAATTTTTCAAATTAAAATTAAAAAAAAAAAAAATCGCTGTGCTTATACAGTGACGACATGTGTGGGAGGCGGGGCGGCCATTAGGGGAGTATGCGGCATTACTTTCATGTGGGTCGGATCAACTTGTTCCGAATGTGCCCTAAGTAACACGCACTTGTAACAATGGAGACATTAGTATGTTTACAGGAAGGTAACTTAATGTCGGAACGATCGATTGTAAAGTGACAGAAGTCTGGGACGGCTCCAGTCACAGGAATTTTATATTTTCTGCCACAGGACACAGAGTAAGCCGGCGGAAGACACACAAGTCTCTAACAATATTATGCAACATGCAATTGCTTTTTAATTGTATGTCTTACTACCGATTCTGTATTTTATGGCCGTTGATAATATTCAGGACAATAAAATGTTCCGGTCTTAAGTAATATCTGTATGTAAAGACAAAGACAGCATAGTTTTCAACATACCATTTCATCACCTATTTTTACGATTCTAATTATACCGAACGGCACGAAAAAAAAACATGTTAAAGGGATAATAACTCTTCGTGTGAGATCTCTGGTTCACAATAAAAACAATAACTCATAATAATATAATATAATATATATGTTTTACCACAAAAGCGGCATTTATAGCTATCATTCTGATATCTGAGCTTGTCTTTAGACCACATGACCTCCACTGATGGCAATACTCTGTTAAAATCTCTTAAGAGATTTAAACAAAAAACCAAACATTAAAAAAAAAACAGGGACTAACTTTGAATGTAAAAATGGATTCATTAACCATTGGTAAGTATAGGGAAATTGTTGTTTACTCCAGGAAAATTCATTTTTTGGCCCAAACGAAGATTTGTTATCCCTTTAATCTATTAAATTGGTTGCATTTAGCAAAATTCCCAGCGGATTTGGATCTATCTACGAAAACTGATAGTTTCAATTAAAAATGAGCTCGAAGATACCGATGTGAGACTGAGACTGGGTTCCCATACAGGGTACCTAGATCGACCTAGCCTGATCCACCCATCTCCTAGAGGTTTGTCGCTAAACTGTTTTCAGCTTAAACGGCTTAGATGTCTGGCAGGCCTACTGTAGCTGCTTAACCATAGTTAATTACCACATAGCAGCTTCAGCAGGCGTGACAGACATCTAAACCGCTTAAGTTGCAATTAAGCGAGAATCCCCTCGGAGATAGATCGATCCACAGTTAGTACGATCGGGTCTGGGAATGGTACCTCAATGCCTTATCGACTGTAATGTAAAAGAAGACACAGAGGGACGTCACTACGATCTGCGGACATTTTTATCTACGGTCACAGGAAATGAAGTTCGCCCATGAAGGGCAAAACAAAAAGCAATGCGAACTATGTAATCGTTTTTTAAGTGTTTTTCTGCTTCTTCTTTATCTAGCTTCCGGCATTTAACGCTTCTTTATATTCCGTGCCATAAAACAGACCAGACTGTGTCTTACGCAACATCGATGTGGATATTTAAATTGTAATTTATCTTAGGACAGACATGAGCCGAGACTTTAAATTGACGTCCAAGGGAGTGTTTTACAGAGAAACGGTCCAAAAGATCCCCTATAAAAGGGAAACGGACACCCTCCTGATGTATACTTATCGGGATCAGCAAGAGCTGTTCACTGGGAAAGAGATCAACGAAGATTGCCGGAAACTCTAGAGATGAAGATTCCTCTGTTTCTCTGTGTTGTGGCCCTGACAGCTTACCTGTAAGTTTCCCTAAGTCGTAGCTTATTGGCGTGTGTTTTGATGGCTTGTACTAAGGGGTCTTCTTGCTTACGAGACAGTACCCGTGATTTCAACATTACTTTATTAATGAAACGCTGCTCTAAATGCAAAAGGCCTTTCTTTTCGATTACTACAACCTGTAATTATCGACAAATTAAGTATAGTATTCATTTCAGTGAGAAAAATACTTGTTTTTAGCTGTTGGGTTTGTAAATGAGAGCATTTTATTATATATGTCAGTTATTTCTGAATGTATGTTTGTGATGTTCAGCTTAATTTGCATGAAATGATAATTTTAGTTATCTTAAAAGGAATGTGATTTACAGAATCTACATGTTCTCCTGCGGATATCAAATGCTATACACACGTAGGCCTATATGGTTCTGCCACAGACTTGTACTACAGCGTGTAATTACTGGTTTCTGAAGAGGCACACATGAGTTGGAAAGTTCGTAAAGGGCTAGGCTTAGAGACCATTCCCAGACCCTATCGTACTTACTTTGAATCGAACTATTTCCAATTGGATTCTCGCTTAATTATGTCTGTCACGCCTAATGAAGTTGATAAGGGGTACTTAGCGATCGTTCATCGATTTTAAGTAGGCGTCCCAGACGTCTAAGCCACAAGAACTGAAAGCAATTAAGCGAGAGACCCCGTGGAAATGGACCTATCCTGTTAGATCATTCTAGGGACGGGAACCCATTCTTGGCCTGAGTTGGCATATAATTGTTCATTTGGATGTGTGGTAGTCACCATAAGACCAGTGGGTCTTATATACACCCTCTATACTGGAAGATCACATGAAGATGCAGCAGCATTATTTTTACTTCTTTTTATCCCAGGCTGAGCAACAAAAANCCAATTTTCAAAAATTATTTGCAGCGTAGAAGGGTGGCGCCCTTTATTGCATTTGTGTTTGTATTTTATAATCTTGTTGTCTTTTAAACCGTTAAGGTCCCGTGTTATGATATCTTGAATAGCACATAAAACTTCAAAGCAAAACAATATATATATATATATATATATATATATATATATATATATATATATATATATATATATATCGGAGAATTAAGCCAATACACCATGAAAAAGTACTCCACCCATGGCGGCGGCCCGTGGGGAGCTGGTATATAAAATCAAGGATGCGGACAAATCTTCCATTGCTCTATGATGACCTAGATTTTTGATGGTTCCCCAGCTTCCTTTCAGTTGTCTCAATCCTGCTACGACAGTCCTTCTCCATGTCAGGGGCGGATTGAGGCTGTCTTCTGGGTCTTCCGGAAGACGGTCAGATTTTCAAGTTTACATTTGACGGGTATCTAATTTTGTTTGTCGGAAGACGGTCACAAATGGAGGATGGACCAACACGTATAATTTGGAAGACTGTCAGAAAATATCTCTGGATCCGCTCCTGCATGTGGTCTTAGGTCTGCCTCTTCCTGTGTCCCTCTGGTTATATACGTATAGACATGTGTTAAACTTGAAGGAAATATACATATTCAAGTGGGCGTATTTCTTTGTTTTCAGGCAATGCACAGGTGCGCTAAATCACAAACATTGTGGTCCACATCATATAAATAAACCATGTACGTTATCTCTTTCCATCCTTTCTTTCTCTCTCTCTCTCTCTCTCTGTCTCTCATCTGCCTGTGCTATTTTAGAGTTCATTATTATTTAATAACCATTGACGCATGCTTGACAACTGGCAGAAAATATACACTTAATATATTGATTATCCCACACAAAATCATGGCCTAGTAATTTCCGATCTTCCGACAATAATACCAATAACTATATCTGCTAGGAAAAGCAAGCACTGTTAAAAATACGATAGTTTAATTTCATTCTGTATAGAAAAATATTGTGTGATTTCCTTGCCATTGTATTACGGAAGTCAAAGCATTTGTATTTTATTTCATTCCAGTTGTTTGCCCTGACGAATATTTGCCTGGCGGTTCTTATACCCAAAAGGTTCCTATAAAAAGTCCCGATGGTTATGGACAAAAAATCAGGTTGGTTTATAAGATATTATCTATTATTTTGTCAGTTCGTGACCGAACTATTTTTTTTTCTTTTTTTTAACCAAAACAAAGCTTCGGTATCATAAATATTTAGCATGTTAAAATTTGATTTTCATAAGTGGAAAAAAAGCCCATTTCATGCAGGGATACCATCAGAAATTCAGCGACATCGCTTTTAATTGGGGTTGGCCATATTAAGCTAGCGAATCAGTTAGTCCGAAGATCATCTGTTCTTAATGCGCTCTAAAAAGCAGCGGTCATATTGCACGCACCGAATTTATAGCCTAATTATGGTGTTGGGACAGCACTGAAAATACCATGTAAAAGAAAACCTCGGCTTTGGATCAGTGGGACGTTCACAAGACGAAAATATTTGCTTCACGGTGCATAAGATTTGTGTAACCTGAGATCGCTCCGTCTAGGAATATAACTAAATATAACAATAGATAAAAGTGAATGTTTGGAGGAAAACGAATATTGATGTGGTACGTCTTGATACACTGCAATTCAGCAAACAGAACCATTATATGTAAAGTTTGCCACAAGTGCACTGCAATTGCACCTTTGTTACATATTATCATCACTTGGCATTCTAAACCTTTCAGCTACAGAATTGAAACCGTCACCTACGGACCGAGTAAAAAGCTGTACTTTGCTTTCGATGGTGACAAGACATGTTACTGGCAGTGTGACAGCCAGGGGGTAGCCACACTCAGACCCTGCCCCACCAAGACTGTGTTCAAGGAGGATCTGCAGACCTGTCTGCGATATTAGAAGCTATGTAAGTAACACAGTGGCATTTTGGATGCCACCAACAATTTAACTATATGCATTATATACATCTCTCTCTCTCTCTCTCTCTCTCTCTCTGGACTACTTAAGCAAGGTTCGTTAGCATTCCATCAGGTTCCGTTATGAAGAATTACTCATTATCCTTAAATACAGATCAAATTTGAAACAGGACGATTTCCTTTTAATATTTCAATAACTTCGACGTCTTGGGTCCCGAATCATCCAAGTTGAACTCCGTTAGTCTATGGAGTTTATTATGATCTTGGGTGACAATTGTGTATAGCGCAAATATTTTACCAAACATTTTACCCAAGTCAAGAAATAGGAAGATATGTTATTTTTACTTTTAATCATAGGCGTGAAATACAGGAATTGACAACAGTGTAGTTACCTGTTACACTCGACCTTAAAGCAGTGCTTTACCAACTGTGCTAAGATTCGAACTACCTGTACACGTGTCACCTTAAGCTTGCTTGCTAATTATTTCTGGCTTCATTATTTCTAGGAAAGATGAAACACAATTTACAAAACATAACTCATTCAGTAAAATTATCGGCATCCGGTGGACAGCAGAAAACGTTCAATATAAGTTGAGGTCGAATATTTGGCCAGATGAAGTCAAAATAGAAAAAGGCGCTCTACTACACATTATATATTATTTCTGGAACAAAATGAAGACTTGACAATGGTTTACACAGGACGACTTGAAAAACTTTCTTGGCTAAAATGGATGACATTTGCTTTGCAGAAAAATCATTAATTTTCCTTCAGTACATGATTGCAATAATTTTAGTGTCGACAAAGAGTATCTGGTGTCGTTCTTTACATAGCTGGTTGAAAGGAAACACAAAGAGTAAAACAGCGTGGAATTATAATAATTCTTTGATTCATTAAGCTTCTCATATAATGTTTGTATTCACGTCTTGGAATAAAACACTGCTTCTACAAATGGTGCATGGTGTCAATGTCTGTAGCCTTCAGAAACATAACGAGTGATAAAATACCCTTTATTCTAAGTCGCATTGCACTTACAAACCATTTTATTTTAAAGCATCTCTTTTAACACAGCTGAAAACCATTTATTTTTGCAATTGCGATCTTTTATGTGACAAAAGAAGTGGGAAATTAAAATTTTTATAGGTGGTTAGAATAATCTTTTTGTATGAAATTTGTGCCGAAGTAAAGTTATTTGGTGATTTTTTTTCCTTTACTCTAAAACACCGATTTAAAATGATAGTGCTCAAGATATGCCTGGCCTAGTGACGTCAAGCGCATCAAATATTACGGCATTACATTGCGTGTGAGACGCTTTATACTATCAAACATGCAATTGTCTGCCTACATGCGATCATATACAGTATGTTTATACGTTGATATTCCTTCACATTTATACAGCACTCCACTACTGAGCAATTATTATTTTTAAAAAATGGCATTTCTCGCCCAGAGAAAATATGAGGCGCAACTAACACACTATAGTGTCCGTCATCTCTTTTATCACAGCCAAATGCACCCATATTTATCTAGAAACCAAGTCCGGAAGTAGCATATAGATTGCCCTATATATCATGTCACCGGAAGTAATGGATAGGAAGTAAGAGGATCAATGTATAACAATGCGTCGCAAGGACCAAGGAAGAGATATTTAGTTTTTGGTGGTGATCCGGATCAAAAATCAATCAATGATCAATAATAAAAAATCAATCATCAACATAACTCATAACGTTATGGACCGATTTTGATGAAATTTTCAGGGTAGGTCAGAAATGGGTTAACTTAGAAGTGATAAGTTTTTGGTGGTGATCCGGATCAATAATCAACCAATTATCCATAATAAAAAGAATACTGTCTTGGCGGAGGTCTGCGCTCTCGAAGTGCTTTTCTAATTGTCATTCTATTAATTCCCCAAGAGCTCAATGTCACCTCCTGTAAAAGACATAACGACTTTTTAACATAACAAGCCTCACATATGAGCAATTAAGCTGTTGACCTTAATTTTTTTTGCAACAGAATGTCTTAAACGGAGCGGGCGCATCAGAAATAAACGCCCAACTAATGATATATTAATGAAAATGCACAAATTGAAAACTCATTTTATAAATTTTGAGCTAAAAATCATTTTTCGCAAGTCTTGGAAGTAATGAGCTACCTGATCACGTGTGACTGGTGACGACATACAAGCCATCGGAGGAGAGAACCAGCTCGTCAAGCAGTCAAACTAAACTGCCATTATCTACAGGCACTGTACCTGTAAGATGAATTTTCAAACCCCTGATAACAATTTATACCCATCCACCTCTCTTACTTGAGAAGTTTAAATTCTCGTGAAGCCAGGTGCCTGTCTACACAATTCTTAATCTTGCATTTAAATACCTCTATCCCAACAAGTATAAAATATTGAGCGTATTTTAATCATTCGCTTTGAGGTCCATGTTATCTGTTTAAAGGCAGAAAGAAGCGTCAAATAAAAAAAAAAATCTTCATCTATTCAGTGCTGGGATGTCTGTAATGTAAAAGAAACCAGAAACGCCTCCGGAGTCAAAAGGTCGTTATCTATTACCTAACAACCTTTTGACTCCGAATGAAAGACACAGAAACATTTTGATCTATAGTGAAATTGCTTTATGATTGCTTGACTCGACAGAGATCCTGCCTGCCACATTTTATGTAGAACTGGATGCTATAAAACCGAACCCTTAGGTGTCTTAAAAACGTATCTTTATTCATGTTGCGCAATTGCTTTGCAAGATAAACATGTTAACACAGCTATAAAACTGACGAAATAGAGGGAGCGCTTAACGAACTTTGCAATAAAAAGGGGACTGAAAGCTGCCTGATGCAACACTTCATAGCATCAAGAAAAGACTGGATAACTCACGACAAGACAAAGACGCCAAGATGTTGAAGACTGCATTTTTTCTATGTCTTGTAGGTCTGGCAGTTTCCATGTAAGTATTCCTTATTGTCATTACATTTATATCTCCTGGGTGTTGTGACAGTGAACAAAGAGGCGTTGTGTTATCTGGATATTGTGGTGATTACTTTTCCATTATGTCTTGATGACTTCGAAGGATAAGACAATAACACATGTGACATGACATGACTTTGATTTACGCCTGTGAGTAGAAACATACTGTATAAAATATTCAGTTTGACGTGCTAAATGTTTTAATTTAAATGAATGACACACCTGGGTGTCTTTGATTTAAAATGCACAGATTCATTTTAACAACAATGGCATTATTGATACCATCGCCTGTTTTGCATTTATACTCTGACTAGCTGAGAAATGCAATTTGATGTATGTATAATCAGCAACTGACCATGGACAATCGCCGATTATACTAAATGGCCATGACGCACGCACACATACACATACATGTACACACACATAAACACACGTGTGTGTGTGTTTGTCTTGTTTATGAAGCATACATTTTATTTCCAACGTACCCGAATAATCACCATGAAATCAAACCGTTAGTACCGTGCACTCTAAATATATGAGTTTTAACTTAAAATATATTAACAGCTGAAATCAAGACACGCTTCTTTTATGCAGGACCTACATGTACAGTACGTCTTGATTTTTCTATATATTGCATGGGACTTTGAAATATTATATCCAACAATGGGAGAAATAAAAGACCTTTTGTTCAGTTTTGAATTAACATCTAGCAGATTTGATTCAAGTATTAAACATTTCAATTTCTACACTTTTAAAATAGAGCTGTACCTGACTGAGTTTTCGATCACATTCGTGATCTTCTTCAGTGTGATGTCATATGGGACGATCACCCCACATTGACCTTGCGCATGCTCAGTTTTGAGAATAACACTTATGAATTATTGGGGCCAGGATACAATGTGAATTTGCTCAGTCACATTTTGTAAAGCCCAGCTTGCACTATCCCGACGTCACTCTGCAGATTTCGAAAATTCAGAAAGATAAATTTTTGTGCTGTGTTAAGGCTGTGTCAAACTGCTCTTGCCACCTTTTGGCAACATTTATGCAACCACAAAATCTTGCGGTTGCTTGCAATCACTTTGCAAGCTAATTATGAAGCTATGTCGAATTTTGATCGGTAAGCAGTCGCAAACAGGTTGCAACAAGGTTGCAGTATGGTATCTGCAACCTCTTATAGACCATCTTCAAGTAACATGTTACCAGTCGCACACCCATAAACAGCCTCTCAGCAACCACTTGGTGATTGAAAACCGGACTGTAGCAATCGCTTGTCAACTGGTAGCAACAAGGTCGCACAAGAATAAAAAACCTTAGAGAGCAGGAAAGAAGGGAGAAAGAAGAAGAAGAAAGAAGAGGGAACGCTAGGCAAAACTGACGTACGCGGTCATCACAAGTGTGTGAGGCAAATGTGAAGCGAAATGGAACTACTTTCGCCGTGCGTTGCTTTCTCCTCAATAGTGGTGAGTGAGAGCTACGTACAGGTAGCAACACAAACTCAAAAAATGAGTACAATTTTCACGGCCCTGTACCTTGCACCTTGCAATAAGCGTTCCTGCTAAAAAAAGAACATCTCATTTGGCCCTTGCAACTCGCAAGGCAAACTTTCGTCTACCTCTACGACCGCAGGGGACGCATTAGCCTAAAATTCGTTCGTCCGGTTGTTACCGTGGCTGTACAGGTCGCCGACTGCTTTGTAACTGATTTGCAACCGAATGTGTGATTTCCCTTTGTCTTTGTAACCCCGGGCGTTTGCCACTTACAATACAGTCTAATTAAATCGTGATAGGTCGTGCGCACCGTGTCCTTTTTTTACACTCTCATCCTTTTATTGAGGATACCAAGCACTGGAAAGAGGTTAAATTGTTTGTGTTGAAACTTTTTGTTTAAGAATATTGGACACATTTAACAATCTGTTCAATTAGTTATGGGATAATGTTGATGGTTAAAATTATGATATTATACATTGCTGATTAAATAATTTTCCGTTTTCGCTGCATTCGTGAATTTGTTTCATTGTTTACTTTGATAAAATGGCTTCACAAATTTTTAATGACATCCAGCAATTCATAATTGAGGTTTTCGGCATTTTACCTATTATTTTCGCAAAGTGATAAAATAAAGAAGCGTAGCGTCAAAAATCCGTACATTGCTTTTCAGCCTCATATTATTATTATTTTTTTTTTTTGTTTTGGTTTCGTAAGTTTGAAATACGTGGTATATGAAAGCCTTGGCAATTAGTATAAAATCTTGCCAGCAAATGCTTTGTTTTCTTTGTTTAAAATATTATAATTTATGATCTTGATATTTAGAAGGCATACATGAGAAATTATTGAAAGAAGTCTTTGCCCAAACAGACCACCATTCTACGCCAATTTTATTGTAGTCGCTTTCAACCTTCCTGCGACATAGTTTCGAATGCCTGCGATCGGTAAAAAACAAAAAAAA